CCTAAATAAATAGAAAAATGTACCGTGTTCAAGAACAGGAAGACACAATATTGTAAAACCAACAATCCACCAAAACAATCTAAATGTTCAACAAAATTCCAATACAGGTACCAAATTCATTTTCCAAGAAGATTGAATGGGAAACTGTCATGTTTATCTGGAGAGGAAAGAGACCTAGAATAAGCAAAGCACTTTTTGAAAAACAAAAATGAGTGGGAAGCATAGCACTCCTTGACCTCGAAACCTCCTACACAGTGGTAGTAAACAAAACAGCACGGTTCTGGTGCAATGACAGGCAGCTATCAATATTCAACTGATATTTAACAAGGAAACAAAACCTGTCAAATGAGGAAGTGACAATCTCTTCAACAAATGGTGCTGGCAAAACTGGACTGCCAACTGCAGAAAGCTCAATCAGCATCCACATCTCACACCATACGCAAAAATCAACTCAGGTCGATCAGAGACCTGGGAGTAAAGCCCAAAACCACGATGTTCACCAGAGATAAAATGGGATCATGTTTAGCCAGCCTAGTCTATAGTATACAGCGACTGACAAATACAGCCAGAAATGCACAATCTTAAGAGAATAACGTTGTTGAATGTGGCCTTCTAAAGATTAAATCCTTGTGTGGATCAAGAACTTTTACCCACAGAGTGAAAAGAAAACTTAGTAACACGAACAAAACATTTGGCAATACCATTTCAGACAAGGGTCTCTTACCAAAAGTTTACAGAATCATACAGGACCTCCACAAGAAAAAGACTAAACAATTATAAAGATTAAAAGATTACACAATTATAAAATAGGCAAAAGACATGGAAAGCCTTTTCACAGAGGAAGATATTTGGATGGCAAACAGATACATGAAGAAATGCTCAAAATCACTGGCACAAGAGAGATGCAAATCAAAACCACAATGTGATACTATTTTACTCCAATAGCAGTGGCAATGTTTAACAGGAGAGTAAGTAACGAATGCTGGAGAGGATGTGGCAAGATTGAACTCTTATACACTGTTGGTGGGATTGTAAAATGGTACAGCTACTCTGGAAGGCAGTTTGGCATTTCTTCCAAAAGCTGAACCTAGATATTTCATATGACTCATCTATTCCCCTGCTTGGAATATACCTGAGAAAACAAGAACTTAGGCACAAAAGGAGACTTGTATATTAATGTTCACAGCATTGTTATTCACCATTGCAAGAACATGGAAGCAGCTCTAATGTCCAATCACAACTGAATGAATTGAGAAATTATGGTACATTCACACAATGGAGTATTATGAAGTATGCAGGAGTAATGATTTTGTAAATTACTACCTAACATAGGAGGGATTGGAGGGCATTATGATAAGTGAATTTAATCACATAAGGACATATATTGTGTAAGACCATTATTATAAAATGTATATGAGGATCCAAGCAGGGGTGGGAGGAGCAGCAGGTTGAGGATGGACTGGGGATGGTGTTTAATCATAGGGTCACACAATTTGATGGGTGATGGGAAGGATGAGTAAAGGAAATGGGAAAGATCTGTAGTGGAAAACAATGTATAAAACTTTGCAAGTAAACTAGTATAAAATAAAATTTTATTTAAATAAAAAAATAGATAACTAGTAAGATATGTATAAAATTCTAAAAGGGGAAGGAGAGGTGGCAGAGGAGATGAGGATGGGGTTGAAGGCGAAAATCACAAGGTCACAGAGTTTGGTGGATGGAAGATAGGGTAAAAGAATTAGTAAAGATATAGTGAGGACCTGAAAGGATGGGTGATAGTGGGCATAGATCAATGGTGATTAGTTTTATAAAACACAATGCAAGAAAAATAATGCCAATGAAAAGTTTAACATGTAAGTAATAAAGGTAAGTAATAAGTGTTGGAGAAGATGTGGTGAGCTAGGATTCTTTTACACTGTTGGTGGGATTGTAAAATGGTACACTCTGGAAGGCAGTTTAGCACTTCCTCAAAAAGCTGAATGTAGAAATTCCTTATGAGCCAGCTATTCCATTGCTTGGAATATACCCCGAGAAAATGAAAACTGAGGCTCAAAACAGAAACTTATACACCAATATTCATAGCAGCATTATTCACCATTGCAAGAACATGGAAACAGCCCAGATGTCCAATCACAAATTAATGAATGAAGAAGTTGTGGTACACAAACACAATGGAATATTATGCAGTATGCAGGAGCAATCATTTTGTAATTTACTACTAAATTGGGAGGGACTGGAGAGCATAATGCTGAGTGAACTAACTCAGTCTTACAAGGACAAATACTGTATAAAAACCATTATTGTAGAGTAAGAGGATCCAAGGGGGGAGGGTGGGTGGAAATAGAGGGGTGTGGTTAGGGGGGAGGGTGCACAATCATAGGGTTGCACAATTTGATGGGTGGGTGGGGTGAAGGAAATGGGAAGAATCTTTTTTTGGGGGGGAAGAATCTTTTGTGGAAAAAATGTATTCAAACTTTGTAAATAAATCAGAGTAATATAAAAAAATTAAAAATAAAAAAATACCAATGAAAGAATGTGTGAAATACAATGCATATAAACAAAGCACAATATATAAGAATTTTGTATGCAAACCAATATAAAATTGAAATAAAATAAATGTGAAAAAGAAAAAATAAATTCATTTTTAAAAAAAGAAAGTGAACTGGGGGAGAAGGAAGGGAGGGAGAGGATGGAAAATGTGCCACAATGAAGAAATAAAAATCCAACTTTTTGTAAATCTTCGTTAAAATGAGAATTAAAATAAAAATCTTTATTATTAAAAAAAATAGTTGGAAAGAGAAATACTACTTCACCCAATGAGAAACATAGTGTAAAGAAAACAGAGCTGTGATGTTAACAGATGTATTACACAATGTTTAGCACACGAATGTTTATCACCACATTATTCATAAAGGTAAAGAGATGGAAACAGATCAAATGGCCATCAACAGTCAAAAGGACAAATACTGCTTAACAGGACTGATAGGGAGAGGGAGAAAAATATGCATCATTGAGTGAATGAAAACCCAGCCTTTCTGTAAACTTTCATTAAAATGACAATTTTTTTAATTGAAATTTTAATGAAAGTTCAGAGACTTTGGATTTCCATTCATTCATTATTGCACATTTTCCTCTTTGCCCACCCCTCCCCCAAGGTGGTTTTTCTCTTTGAAAAGTAAAAAAAAAAAAAAAAAAAAAAAGCCAAACCACCAACCCCCCAAAATACTTTCATTATTATACAATCCCCTTCTGCAGTCCACTCCCTCATGAAGCTCTCATGAAGTTCTGGACTCTTGTCATGAAAATAAAACCCAATCATATATTCCTTTCAAACAGTTCTCTCCCTCATCTGTTCCAAGGCAGTATATATTTAAAAAATTCCCTTTAAAAAAAAAATCATGTTCAAAAGTAATAGGCCCAAAAAGACAGGAAATGTGTCTCAGGTAATTAAAAGGGAATATAATTTCTTTATAAATTAAGATAACTACACACCAACTTTTCAAAAGATTGGAACAATCTTTATGTTTATGTTTATGTTTATGTTTATGTTTATGCAACTAAGTGCATAAAAAAAATGTGGTAGATACGAAAAATAGAATATTACTCCAATATAAGAGAAATGGTATCTTGACAAACCTTGACAAGATAGAAATGCCTTGAATACATTATGCTCAGTGAAGTAAATCAGCTGAGAGAGTACTAGATGAAAAGTACCGGATGAGTTCACTTAAATAAACAAAAACATAAAGTCAAAGTTGTCTAGTTAGTTACCAATGAGGGAGGAGAGGAGCAAAGGGAATATTTTTGCTTTGGATACAAGTTTATGCTAATGTGGGTGGGATAATCTGGAAACTGAACAATAATCATTGGTACATATAGGGAGAATGGAATTTATATCACTAAATTATACACGTAGAAACTGTTGAATTGGTGAATATTTTGCTGTATATTATTTTCAATGCAAAAAAACCCTAACAAAACCACCACCCCCAAAACAACCTAAAATTAGGAAAGTGATGAGAAAGTAAAATGATGAAAAAGAATCTCAATAAAAAGTCACATAAACATGTGCACTCAAAAATACTGTTTATGCAAGAAGCAACTTTTGGAAGCAGTGATATCTGAAACAAGCAAATGAAGTAAAGGTAATGCCAGTGAATACATGTACAGGAACAGGAGGATAGGAACAAAATCATTAATATGTTCTATTTTGTGCTTTTAAGTAAAAATTTTTAACAATGTCATTAAATTCTAAAAATAATAAGAATGGACCATCTTTTATGAGTATGGTAACAGTTAAAATACATAATAACTTCCTTTAGTACAAGTGTATTTTAGGGAGCTCTGGTAGCTGAGTGATAAGGAGTTGCACTGGCAACTCAAAGACATATGGTTCTAGTCAACTAACTGTTCCAAGGGAGCAGATGCGCAGTCTCTTTCTATGTGATTTACTGCTTCTGAAAACCAGCAGAAGGTCAGCTATGGGTTGGTTCTGATTTGACAGTGCACCACCACCACCACAGCAACCACATCAAGAAGAACATCTTTATTTTATAAAATGAAACTTTAAAAAGGCACTGCCTCTTCTAGTCTTCAGAACATAAAACACTTCCTTTACTGGTGGCCTAGAGACAATAAACTGCACTGCAATCCCAGAAGGAGGGGCAATCTCCCCCTGTACCAGTCAGATCCGATTTGAAAGAACACAAAAGAAAGTAATAATTTAAAAAAAAAAAAAAAACCCAAACCAAACACTACCTTTAAGAAAACTACCATGATGGGTCCACTTCATTTTTCTCATTAGGTAGATGGGAATTTTTTTTGTGAAAATATTTCTATTTAGAAGAAATTCTCAGTGCAAACTATGTCAGCAGCACTCATAAGCTATCTCATTTCTCACTTAATCTTATCTATCATTAAAAAAATTCTGCTAAAAAAAAACACAACAAAACTGTGCTAAGGAAAAATGGAGCCTAATCAAACATAAGGGTATCACTTACCCTTGCATAGTGTAATTCGACCCCATAGAGTTCTAAGGTACGAGCTGTGTTCAGATAATTAAATTCTGCTTCTGCAGGAGATAAGCCTCTATAAAACATCATTTTGTTAAAAAATTAGAACAATCACAAATAAAGTCAAAGAATAAAAAGTACTTTTTACACATTTTAAGCATTCTCATTTAAATATTTAAAACACACCACAAATACTCTGCATGATTTTGTACTGTGACAACTAATTTATAACCTCAGAAACAGACTACGTCAAATTTTAAGTCTCCAGCTGTTTTCATAATCAACTGCAAAGTTAAATCACCCTCTGAGGTAACTTAAAAAGTGTTTGTCTCCCAATTTTGTTTCATACACCATCGATGTCTGGCCTAAATACTCATCAATCATTTGTGGTACTTCTCAAACATACAGATCCAGAGCTACCCTTGAGAAGAGTACACTGTGTACAAGGTCTGAGTCATATAATATGGAAATTGAATTATCACATATATTATAAATGTTCATCTTGTTTTGTGGGTTTTTAAAAAAAATTATAATTTGAGAGAAAATTTACAAAGCATATTGGAGTCATTTTCCCCAATTAATCATTCACACACAATTTAGTCATTTATATATGCTGAACCCAACTGTTAAAAATAAGACTTATAAGTTTTACTTTTTCATTTCAATTTTCTAATAACTCATTGTTAACATTCAAAAAATATTGTATTACTCCTGACATATTAGAAAAATAAACTTGCCTCTCATCATGGCTTGAGAAGTGCTGTTCTGTACAGTGTGAGACAAAAAGTTTAGGATAAGGTCCAAATTGTTTGTGATTCTTAAGAACTCAAGTTTGAGAATCACTATTCAAATGCAAAATCATAAAATACACACACCACACAGATACACAAAAATACAGATATATTTCTTTGGACTTCACTCTTGAAATTGTGTTTACCTGAGCTTTTAAGAGTATAGCAGAGCAACCTCGCAGTTATAAAAGTATAGATATCAACGTTTCATTTATTAATGTTACTAAAATATAAATAGGGAGCCAGCATGACAAAAAATGATCATAAGAAACTGAGTGTTCAATTTTTTAAAAAAAATTCAACATATATTCCTAAAATTAAAAGGGGTAAATATATTTTTAATTTGTTCAAAGATCTGAAGAATCATTTAAAAAAAATCTTCATTAGTAAATTTAAAAAAATATAATTTGTCTTTAAAGCCTTGTTTCAAAATAAATTCTTTTTAGATTATTTTTTTATAAATGGGATTTACTTTTGGATGAATGTAGCCTCCCTTTCCTAAGCCAGCCTATTAAAATCCTTGCTGATTATTGGCATTATTAGATCACAGTCAGTAAACCTTCTGGGTCAAGTTCCTTGCCATAACTACTCAGCTCGGCCAGTGTAACATGAAAGCAGTTAAAGACAACATGTCCCCACATGAGGCATCTGTGTCTCACTTGGACAAGCTTTAAAGTACTTTTATATTTTTCAAGCACGTAAAATATACAACCCATTCTTGACTCATAGAGTACACAAACCAAGAGGCAAGCCATACTTGACAACTGATTTAGCTATTGCCAAATTTGAAGCAAAATTTCTTAATAGGGAATTCAATGATACTTAATCAGAACTGACTAACAGCTGACCCTCCAGTGAAGTTTCAGAGGCTGTAAATCACATGGGAGGAAACTGCTCATCTTTATCCCAAGGAGCAGTTAGTGGATTCGAACTGCAAGGCTTTGGGTTGGTAATGCAACTCCATATCTACTAGGCTACCAGATCTATTAAATGAAAGTAAATTTTCTAAATAAGGTAATATCTATTATGCTCACCATGTGCCAAGCATTATTTTGGACACTTTATATACAGAAATTCACTTAATCTTTACAATAAATCCAAAGACAGACATTCTTATCAACTCCAATTTATAGATGAGAGAAAAAGCAGCAGAGACAATACAATTAGATCAAGATAATAAGACAAAAATTAGCTTCACCAAGCTAATTTCAATCCTGGTAGGCTCCTCAGTATAGACTTTCAGCTAATAAAAAATATGGCATTATTTCTTCCATAAATATTTGGAATTGTATGTTAAAACACTCAACTCTGAATTAATAAACAATATTACTTCCTACACACAGAGAGAGCTACGATGGCCTAGTAGACAGAAAGTTATGATACCAAGCCCAAGGTGTGTGATTTTAATCTGCGGCCCTCAGACCTGGTTTAAATTGCTTTTCTGTCAAACATTCTTCTAAGTGGTATAGCACTGGTCTGTGCAATTTTCATGGTTGCTGTGATGTTAAACACTGTGATACCCATGTGCCAAATGTGATAATGGTTACCTATGGTGGACAGTGTTTGGTGGAGCTTCCTGATTAAAACAAGCTTGGAAGCAGGAGTGGCATCCAGAAACTCTATGAGCAGTGCTCAGGTCTTTCATTCATAGGCTCGCTATGAGTTGTCTACAACCTGACGGCACTTAACAACAACATTACTTCCTACTGAAAGCAATTCATTTCTTCTGAGGAAAAATTCTAATTTTCATGGGAAAATTCGTCTCATAAAAATGGAAGTTGATGACGGTTATGATTTTTTTAAAAGGTCATTATTTTAAGATATATTTTAAGCTCTCTTTCTCCTTTTCACTTTTTACTAGACAGAAGTAAAATCCTTTCATAGAGCTAACCACACAGGAAGCACTGATAAGCAAACTGAACTGTCTATTTTGAATACACCAAACTCTCAAACACATCACTGTTGAGTCGGAGCTGACTCACAGCTCTGGAGAGTTCTTAGAGGCTGTAAATCACACAGAAGACTGCCTTCTTTCTCCTTTCACGCTACAGAGGGACTCAAATCACCAAAGCAACACTGATTCTGGGTCAGCAGTGCAACTCCCTGCGGTCTAAGCCACTGGAGTACAAATATGTTATTAATATGTAAAATGCCCTCTTAAGAACAGACAACTTTATATAATAGCAAATTAAGTTCTGCTTACATACAGTTTAGATATGGAGAAATTAAAGGAATATGCATATATCATGTGAAATAAGCTGTAATATATATATTTTAGTATATATTATCTACATTTCTTTTACTCTATCATAGCATTTTAGTAATAGTCACAGTGCCTCATCAGATAAATAATAATTAATAGTAGCTATTCCACATCAAATCAAATTAGAAAGAATTTAAAATCTTTTTCTGAAAAGTTTACCAAATAAACTAAAAATTAAATAAATTCTTACGTGTGTTGCTGATGTAATTTTGCAGTTTCTTTTTCAAAATCTTGAGGTTGATTAGGAATGAAAGAATAATCTGAGAGGTAGCCTGGCAAATTCTCTGACTGACTGTAATCTCCAAGTTCAGCTAATAAGTGAAAGGAAAATATTCACATTTTAGTAAGCATATATTTAAATTATTAGAAATAAAACAGTAATGTTCCCTATTTCACCTATGTTTTAGAATTAAAAAACTTGTTCCTAATGCTACCAGGTAAGCAAATTAAAATTCACTCCCCTTTATTGCTCTGACAATTTCATAAATTTTTTCCTGCTGTGATTTAACTACTTTTATCTGTATTTCACATTTCCTGTACAGAAACATATAGCCATGGGTGGTACAAATGTTTAAGCACTCCACTTCTAGCCAAAGGCTCATAGTTTGAACACAACCATAAATGTCTAAAACAACAGGCCTGGTAGCCTACTTCTGGATGGTCATGGCCTTGACATTTCTACTCTGTTCACATGGTTCTTGAGTCTGAACGAACTTGATAGCAACTAACACAACCACCTATGTCTGTATGTCTCTAACACATATTAAAAGGAATGTACTGTTCAGACAGACTACTCAATTCTATACTAGAACTAAAATGGTCTAATACTTACATTGAATAGCAAATGAAGCCAACAGGACAGCAGTATGATAAGGACAAGGCAACCTAATGAAACCAAACAGAGAATAGATAATCCAAGGTTAAACACAGTAACATTTAAAGCACTGTAATTTATATTATGCATATCGAAAAGTTTCCATACGATTAAACTTTTTACTATTAAATAATGAATCTCACTGATAAAGAAAATCCATGCTACATGTAACTATTTTTTCATAAACAACGTGAACAAAATGAACATGAATTACTTAAATAATCCAGAAATAAATGTACTTGTAAAATTCAATACCAGAAATTTAAAATATCATACCTTCCAGTAAGAATGTCTTGTTTAATTTGTAAAAAATACTGGTACCTTTTGAATAGGGGAAAAAGGGGAAAAATAAATTATTTACTTAAGTTCCCGAAATTTTAAAAAACCATATAATCATACTAACAAATGAAAATGAGACATTAAGTATTTGCTTATACATCTTACAAGCTGACACTGTAAAGTTTTAAAATAAGCTTTCAGAAATTTATGAGTGCAAATTTAAAAAATTAGTTACATACAAAATTTTGTACTTTATTGGATTTTATCTAGCAATTATGAAGTTAAAGATTTTAAGGGTTAAATAAGTAGAGGAGGAGGTTAGAGAGAAATAATGTCTTAACTGTTGAAAAGTCTGAAAGTCTGAGTTAAGACACAAAGAGAACCAGTGAAAGCAAGGCATTTATAAGAAGCCCTCTGAAGACACACTGTTGCTAAGATCAAAGCCAAACCGAGCCACAGGCCCACACATCAGCATTTTAGCACCAGGCAGCAGAAAGCTCTTGAGTGTATCTTGCCAATTTCACTTTGGCTAAGAAAGCTCTCTTTAATCAGAAATTAAAAAGGTAACACCAACTAAGAAAATGCCCTAGATAAGAAAAGACTCTCTTCCCCAGAACTGCTCCACCATTATTAGAATCGCCAAATATCCAATTTCCTTTAAATGCACAGCTATCCTCTAGGCTTTTTCAAGGTTCATTTTACACTACTTCGTTTAAACAAAGAGCCACATTTAGTACCTGTCTTTGTTAACCAAAAGCGATCTGAAGTTTTTAGGGGAAAATGAGAAAAGTAAAACTAGCATTTAGCTTAAAGTTGAAGCAAACACCCCAAACAAGTGGGACCACCAAGTTCCTGAAATGTGTCAGTGAGCCTCTCTGTGCTTTACCTTGATTATGTCTTTAGTAAAGCCCAAGACAATTTATAAAATGTAGTGTAAAACCGAATGCAATGAAGCATTGAATAATGGTGAATGAAACAGACATTGTCTTTTTTTATTGATTTGCACATAGTCATTCACAGTGTTTGTACATGTTCTGTGTTTTATACATTAATTTATATACATTGTGTTCTATTCATGTACATTGTATTTTATGCATTCACATACATATTTTGTATAATTATCATTTATCTATGCCTATTACCATCAAGTCTTTTCTTTTTCTCTGATTTTTTAAATTCTTTTTCATTAATGTACATTGTTCTTCTTTTATATACTTTTAAAAAGTCCCATTCATTCATTGTTGCACATTTTCCTGCCTGCCCCCCAGCTCACTTCTCTCTTTGAAAAAAAAAAAACCTTCTTTTCACTGTACAATTACACCATCACCCCCAGTTTACATTGCTACGTAGCTTTTTATTCTGGACAGTTGTCATGCAAATACCTAATCATATATTCCTTTTAAGCAGTTCTTGCCCTCATCTGTTTCAATGCAAGTGTACATTATTTATTGCTCCTTTTCTTAGTTTCCCCAGTCCCAATGTCAGTCCTTTTTCTAAACAGTGACATTGTGCAGTATTTGTCCTTTTGTGATTGAGATATTTTACTCAGCATAATGTCCCCCATGGTCACTCATTTTGTATAATTCATGAGTTCCTTGGTTTTCAGTGTTGCATAGCATTCCATTGTGTGAATATAGCACAATTTCTTATGCATTCATTCACTGACAGGCACTTGTGTTGTTTCCAACTCTTTGCTACTGTTAACAATACAACAATAAACATGGGTGTGCATTTATCTGTTTGGGTGGCAGTTCTGGTTTCTCTAGGGTATATTCCCAATAGTGAAATTTCTGGGTCAAATGGTATTTCTATTTCCAACTTTTTGTAAAATTTTAATGAAAATTTACAGAGACTTTGGATTTCCATTCATTCACTGTTGCACTTTTATCCGGATCCAACCCTTCCCACTAGTTCGCTCTTCTCTTTGAAAAGTAAAAGAAAAATTCCTTCACTGATATACAATCCCTCCCCCGAAGTCCACTCCACCATGCAGCATTCATTCTGGACTCCTGTAATGACAATAATACCTAATCATATATCTCTTATAAACAGTTTCTCTTTTTCATATGTGTAAATGCAGTGTACATAATTTATCCTATCTTTCTCAGTCTCTCCCCCAAGCCCGATGTCAATCTCGTTTTGTAACAGTTGCACTATGCCGTATTTGTCCTTTTGTGTCTGAGATATTTCACTCAGCATAATGTCCTCCAGGGTCACCCATTTTGAATAATATTTCATGAGTTCCTTGTTTTTCAATTCAGAGTAGTATTCCATTGTGTGACTATATCGAGCTTCTCTATCCATTCATTTGATGGTGGGCACTTAGGTTATTTCCAATTCTCTGCTACTGTGAACAAAGCTGTGATAAACCTGGGTGTGCATATATCTGTTTGAGTGGCCACTATGGTTTCTTTGGGGTATATTTCCAGTAGTGGAATTGCTGGGTCAAATGGTATCTCTATTTGCAACTTTTTGAAAAAGCACCATACTGCCTTCCAGAGTGGTTGCACCATTTTACACTCCCACCAAGTGTGGATACGGTTTCCAGTTTCTCCACAACCTCATTTGTTGTTTGCTGCTCTGTTGGATTTTGCTGTTTCTTACAGGGGTGAGACGCTGTCTCATAGTTGTTTTGATTTGCATCTCTCTTAGTGCTAAAGACTTTGAACATTTCTTTGTGTGTTTGTTTGCTATCGGAATGTCTTCTTTGGTGAAGTGTCTGTTCATATCCTGTGTCCATTTAACAACTGGGTTTTTTTACCTTTATCTTGTTGTGATGATCAAGTATTCTATAAATTCAAGATATAAGTCCCTTATCAGACATGTCATTACCAAATATTCTTTCCCAGTCTGTGGCTTTACTTTTTTACCTGTTGAAGTTTTTTGATGTACTTAGGATTTGATTCTTAGAAGGTTCCATTCATTTATTTTATACTCTCCTGGTTGTAGGGTTTTCAAGATGCTTGGAAGATTGGATGTTGTGGAATAGGGCTTCTAGAGTTCTACCAAGTTTTTCTCTGATAAAGATTATAGTCCTTGGTTTTAGGACTAAGTCCTTGATCAACTTTGGTTTTTGTATATGGTGTGAGATGTGGGTCTTGCTTGAGTTTTCTGGCAGATAGTTTTCAAATTTTGCCAACTACATTTGTTAAAAAGGCTGTCATTTCCCCACTTAACTGATTTCTTCTCCTTGTCAAAAATCAGATGGCCATAGGTATATGGGCTGATTTCTGGTTTCTCAATTCTATTCCATTTATCTATGTGTCTGTCATTGTACCAGTACCATGCTGTCTTGACCACCATGGTAGTATAGTAGGAATCAAGGAATGAGATGCTTCCTACCTTGATGAAACAGGCATTATTTGGGTTTTGAACGTGTCTGCATCAACTATTTGTAATGTTTACACAGAGAGAAAACAGCCATAGGTACTATTTTTTTTTTTCTCTACTTTGGCTGTATTTTTTTTTCTATAATTATATTTTATTAATTTTCATAAACATTTACAGAGATTTTGGGCTTCCACTCATTCATTGTTGCACTATTCTCT